AATTCCCCAATAGCTGGCGGCCAAAGGCCACCCTGCTAATTGCAGTTGCCTAATAGCTAGATGCAAAACAATAGGAAATGCTGCAGTGCATAGTAGTTCTAACTAAAACGGGACCGCCAACCTTAGCAAGGGAGACCGGGGACCGCCAACGTTAGGAAAAAAAAAAAGTGCTCCGCCCTTTCGGGTACAGCAGGCACCGTCGGAGGAATGAGCTATAATGTTTGTCAAATTTGTTAGAAAAAGGTTTGCTAGCCAATGACGATTAGGTGGGGGCCTCACTCCTGCAAGCTCAACACAGGGTGCGACATTTGTCCCGACGCGAGACCGAAAGAAGTGCCCAAGTATCCGAAGCTGGTGTAAGGACCTGCCTGACATCGCAAAATGCTCTTGGGGGTAGTGTGCAGGCATCGGCCACAGCATCGCCAGACCGATGCAATGTACCCGAGACCCTCCCGAAATCCTGCAACTCGGTCGACAAGCCCCGAAGATGCTCCAAGGACCACGGAGGACCTGGTCAAGGCCGTCGCTGGTGATGGTGAGACGGTGACCAAGGAGATGGCTGTGTTAGATTGCATGTTCGCCTTAGCAACCCCTGCCTTCAAGCTATGCCGAGTCGTGCTTGGTTGCGTGCCAGTACTTTGTCTACGTGCTTCCATGAGCTGTGTGCACCATGAGAGTCATAACAGCCTCCCCTGTCCACACGCACTGAGAGAGAGAGAGAGAGGGAGAGGGATATATACGTATATATATATATATGTATATGTATTGTACACATACACAACTATATATATATATATATATACATGTTAGAGGCGAGGGGAGCCTTTCTGCACTATGTGATTGAACCGTGGCTGCATGGCCTCCAAAATTGTCTTTAGTTTTCAGCATCCCGACAACTTTGCAAACTATGAAAGCTCGTTGTGGGTTGCTAGTTTTGACAGTTTCGGTAAACTATGAAAGCAGATCGTGGGTTTTCATAGTTTTTAAAGCTTTCATGGTTTTCATTGTTTCGGCGGCTGGGTTGTCTTCATATCGGCAGCAGGGTTTTCATAGTTTTCAAAAGTTCGGCATTCGAGAAGTTTGAAAACTATGAAGCTATTAAAGCTGGCCCCTGGTTTTTGATAGTTGTTGCGGTTTTCATAGCTTTCAAGTTTCGGCAGCAGGCTATGCATATTGGCAGCAGAGTTTTCATAGTCTTCAAAATTAATATTGAAAACTGTGAAAACTTTGAAAACTACGAAAGCTGATCCTTGGTTTCATAGGGTTTTAGAGCTTTCATGGTTTTGATAGTCTTCAAAGGTTCGGCATTCCGACTAGTTTGAGCTGCGATATCACCATCCATATATCTATAGATATACACATGTATATATGTATGTATGTATGTATGCATGCATGTATGTATGTGTGGATGGATGGATGGATGTCTGTGTTTGTATGTATGTATGTATGTAGGTAGGTAGGTAGGTAGGTAGGTAGGTAGGTAGGTAGGTATCCTCGCCTGACCTGGTCGAGCGAGAGTGAAAAATGTGTATGTATGTATGTATGTATGTATGTATGTATGTATGTATGTATGTATGTATGTATGTACGGATGGTTGTGCGCCGTGCTTGACGGTCACGACGACTATGACGAAAATGCATGACAACGCGGACCACCTGAACCACACCGAAGAAAACTACGAAAAGGACGACCACGTCAACCACGAGACCACTAGCAGACCACCAGAAGACCACCAGGAAGTCACCAGGAGACCACCAGGAGAAGTTGTCCGCGTTCCGTGCGGCTTTAACCAATTTCTTTACACTGAAAGTTAGATACCCTACATGAAAGCGTACACGCTTGCAGGTGCGTACGTGCGCACGTGTCGTGTGTGCAACTCCGTCTGTATGCATGCATGCAGTTGTGCAGATTACCATTGCTTGTTGTTTCTCTTTCCCTCTGTCTCTCTCTGTATGCACGTTGTTTTTTCTCTCTGCCTTTGCCGAAGAAAGTGTCAGAAGCTGGCCAGGAGAACTTCATCAGCTTCTTCGATAGTTGCGAGAAGGAGGCTTTCTGGTGCCAGCAGGGCGTGGTGTGCGTCAGGGAAGGGAAGGAGTTGAGGTGTGCATTTGGAAGTGTTCAGAAGTCTCGGCTGTGGCATGTGAGCCATGTCCCGGTTTGAGACTCTCGATGCAGTTCGTGGGCATTTATGTTTAGGGAAATAAAACGATGTGGAGCTCCATCTAAGACCGGTTGAATCGCAAACACCAATCGCCAAAACTCAAGCCCTCGGGATTTCGGGTTGAAAGACATCGCCGCGGTTTCAGGTTTCGAATGTTCAGGTATCAAGCCTGTGTAATCAGGGGGTGTAGGGATGACGTCCAAAAACTACTTCCAGTGAGATCTCCGGACAGGAAGGCGCTGCACCACCACCCAAGGAGGACCTAGGCAACGTGTTTTTTCCTTGTCGGACATTGAAGTGTTCATGCTTTCGAGGGCCCTGGAAATCTTCGGAGGTCTTGGGAGTTTTCGTTGCACTGGCTTCCGCTAGGTGCAATTCACCCCTCCTAGAGTCCTACAGAGAAGGAAGAAGCCTTCTAGGCGTCCCCGGGTGCCAGTGATTCAACAGGCACCTCTCGTAGTCTTTGTCCTTAGAGCAACCAACAATGGTGATGAGTAGCAACGCGGTAGTGGTAGTGGCAATGCTAGTGGTAGTGGTGGTGGTGTTGGTGTTGGTGTTGGTGGTGGTGGTAGCAGTAGCCGTCGTCGGAGCAGCAGCACGGGGAGGAGCAGCCGACGAAGCGGTGGTTCTGTGTGGGGAAGCGGAGCGGGAGTAGAAGTAGAAGGAGTTACAGTTATGCTGAGGTCGTGGTCGCACCATCACCATCCCCATCGCCATCGCCACTTCCATCGCCCGCCGCCGGTGCTGGTGGTGCTGGGGCTGGTGCTGGTGCTGGTGCGGGTAGTGCTGGTGGTGCGCTGGTGGTTCGCTGGTGGTGCGCTGGTGGTGCGCTGGTGGTGCGCTGGTGGTGGTGGTGGTGGCGGCGGTGGCGGTGGGGGTCGTGATGGGGGGTGGTGGTGCGGCAGTGGTGGCGGTGGCGGCGGTGGCGGCTGTACCAGCATCACCAGCACCACCAGCACCGGCACCGGCACCGGCACCAAAACCCCCACCGCCACCACCGCCATCACCGCC